CACTATTGAATGCCATGGAGATAAATAAGTATGTGGGGAAAAATGATGGCTCCTTAGATGGTAAGTATGGTTGCTGTTCCTTGAGTGTGCATGGACTGTCAGTGTTCACTTATTAGAGCTAATATTTAACTAACTACTAATCTAAGATTGGGTGCCTCGCACTAATCAAATTTTGGAAGCTCTAATGATGGCATATCTGAAATATGCTTTGCATGAGTTGCAGGAACAGTTATTGGAAATGTGGTTTCACTCTACTCCTCAGCAGACTGGGCACAAGAGGGTGGTGATCCATGTGTGCCAGCTCCATGGTCATGGGTGCTGTGTAACTCAGACAATCAACCAAGGATAGTTTCCATGTAAAAATTTACCTGTTTTAGTCACATATTGGTCCAGAATCTCTGAAAAAAGAAACACTAATATGTAATAACTACCTTTGTTTCATTATTGGTGCTTTGCAGATTCTTATCCAGAAAGAACTTGACAGGGAATATTCCCTCAGATTTGACAAAGTTGAATGGTTTAGTTGATTTGTAAGCTTCAGACTGCATTGTTTTACTGAATCCTTTTTTTCATATTCAGATGTCTGTTGGAGTAATAGTGAACCAATTTATTTTCTTCCCCACTAATTTGTCTTCTTATGATTACAGATGGCTTGATGGGAATTCTCTGACTGGCCCAATTCCTGATTTCAGTGCATGCATAAACTTGAAAATAATGTAAGTGCTGATGAATAATTCTTTTGATTGTGTTTTCTCTTTGAATATTGACTAATAATGTTCTTGTCTGATGTAGTCATCTTGAGAACAATCAGCTGACGGGTGAGCTGCCGTCCTTTCTAACAAACCTACCAAACTTGAGGGAACTGTAAGTTATTCAAACTTGGACATTGGCAAGTTCTGTTGCCCAACGGTTCTCAAGTTTTAACTAAGTGAATATTTAAAATGCATTTCTAAATTGGTGCTTGAAGTTGATAAGTTGGATCATTCTATTATTCCAAATGGTTGAGTTGGTATATTTGTTTCTTTATTTATTTTTGTTTTGTCAATCATTTGTGGATGTTCATGCTATTTCCAAGGAATGATCGTTTATGCTTTATCCCTTTGATGGTTGCAGGCATGTTCAAAATAATATGTTATCCGGGAGAGTACCATCAGGTCTTCTCAGTAAAAACTTGGTTTTGGAGTGAGTATCACTTTAATCTTTAAGTCTAATATGTGTGATTACATTTCCTAATGATTGGTGGGAACTGTCATATTTATATCTTACTGGTATTTTGTCAATACTGTGGACTGCTCTGGTTAAGTTGATAATAGTCAGTTGAAGCATCTTATACCAACTCTTTTTTTTACCTTGGATAAGTGTCCTATCTTCTTCCCTGCCCTTTGCTACTCATAATGCTATGATTCAGAGTCCAGCATCTCTAAAATTGCTTTTCTGTTTCTCCATAGATATTCTGGAAACATAGATCTTCGTGAGGATAATGGAAAAGGGAAGCACGTAAAAATAGCTATTGCTTCATCATTTGGTGCTGCTTTTCTGCTCATAGCTACTATTGTTTCTCTCATCCTTCTGTGCAAGGGGAAAAAAAACCAGGAAAAAGGTATTGGATTGGATTCTTGAAGTTTTAGTGTATTGGATCTCTGTTGGCTCCACATGAATAACTTCTTTTATTTTTATTTTTTTGTCAGAACAATTTCAACATTCTTTGCCTATTCACCAATCGGTTTCCAGCTTGAGTAATGCTCCGGCAGAAGCTGCACACTGTTTTGCATTATCAGAAATGGAAGATGCTACAACTAACTTTGAGAAGAAAATAGGTTCTGGAGGTTTTGGAGTTGTATATTATGGAAAACTGAAAGATGGCAAGGAAATTGCAGTGAAGGTTCTTACCAGTAATTCCTTCCAGGGAAAGCGAGAATTTACTAATGAGGTAGTCAAACTCTACAGATGAAGTTTATGCACCTGAATTACTTGAATTCTTTTCATCTCATTTCTCTCTTATTTATCCAAAACCAGTTGGCATTTTTGTATTGGCTATTGGAAACTGAAGATCTTGTGAACTTTTGACTTGTGGTATAGGTAACACTTCTTTCAAGGATACATCATAGAAACCTGGTGCAGTTTCATGGATATTGCCAAGAGGAAGGGAGATGTTTGCTTGTATATGAGTTCATGCACAATGGAACTCTCAAGGAACATCTCTATGGTAACTTCTTGTCTTTGGTCAATTTGAAAGCCAGACAGATTTTGGTACTGACCACTGTACTTCTGCAGGTCCATTAACACGTGAACGAAGAATCAATTGGTTAAAACGCCTAGAGATTGCTGAAGATGCTGCAAAAGGTTCCTAAGATAATGGATAAATGTGTTCTTTTCCTTCTGAGGAGAAGTTCCCTCATTTGTTAAAGCACTGAGTGTTATTTCTATGTTGTTGAACCCAGGGATCGAATACCTTCACACAGGCTGTGTTCCAGCCATTATCCATAGGGACTTGAAAACTAGCAACATTCTTCTTGACAAGCATATGAGGGCAAAGGTCTCAGATTTGGGCCTCTCAAAACTTGCAGTGGATGGAGTATCACATGTGTCAAGCATAGTACGAGGCACTGTAGGATACCTTGATCCAGAGTATGACCTTTCTCCTAAAACTTCCCCAATTTGTCTAAATCATGTGAAACACCAATTTGCATCATCCATGCTGACTTTCTTATAATGTGCAGGTATTATATTTCTCAGCAATTGACAGACAAGAGCGATGTCTACAGCTTTGGTGTCATCCTTCTTGAGCTGATGTCTGGCCAGGAACCCATATCTAATGAAAGCTTTGGTGCTAATTGTCGTAACATTGTCCAATGGGTAGGTCCACTAAATTACTCAAAAACATTAGACTTGGAAACTCTCCACAGCTCTTCTTATTTCAAAACAATACATACAGGCGTATGTTTGTAAAACGCTCATGAAGCATCCTTCTGATATAGTTGCAAAATTTTACGCACTCAATCCTTTGCTGAAACTCTTTCACATAATGCATGAGGACGCCTTGAGTATTGATTGCCTTAAATAATTTGCATCACAGGCAAAGTTGCACATTGAGAGTGGTGACATTCAAGGAATCATTGATCCCTCCCTGCAGAATGAATACGACATCCAGTCGATGTGGAAGATTGCAGAGAAAGCTTTGATGTGCGTGCAGCCTCACGGACACATGAGGCCATCAATTTCTGAAGTTCTCAAGGAGATCCAAGATGCAATCTTAATTGAAAAAGAATCCCTGGCCATTAGAGAAGGTACTTCAGATGAGATATCAAGGCAATCTATGAATTCTTCCCTTAACATTGGTGCCTTGGATTTCGGTGGAACTGATAATTACCTGTTAGTTGATGACTCCATTGCAAGACCAGCTGCGCGATAATTCTTGTTATTGTACAGACACAATTGAACCCTTTCCACATTTGTTTTCGGTATCTCGTATTCTTTATTATTTATTACTCTTCTAGGATTTGTGAGGCAGCAGATTATTTGCCTTCAGTTTGAGTCTTGAGGTTCATTTCTTTCATTACTTTTGAATGCATGAAAGACATGATTACTGCTACATCTACTGTTACAATGGTATAGCGGTACCCTGTAACCTTGCATTTTAAGTTTTGGTGAGAAAGTTGCATCAAGCGCTTGATTGCATGGTGTTAAAACCGTTGAAAACTATCAAAACTGCATTCTCCAAAGAGATTATTGACTCAGTGGTTAAGAAATAAGAAGTCATTTGAATCATATTGAAAATACGGGTTTGAATACTTTCAACATTATTAATCGATAACGCTCATCACTTTTAAAGATAAAATCTTCCTTAATGTTAATAATTAAAACAATTGTGAACGTTCATGGGATTAACCTTACCCTTGAGTTAATACCTTTTTTTCCAAAGAATCATTGTATTCTTTGTTATTTATCACCCTTCTAGGATTTGAGGCTGCAGATTATTTGCCTTCAGTTCGAGTCTTGGGGCTCATTTCCTTCATTACTTTTGGATGCATGAAAGACATGATGACCTTACATCTACTGTTACATGGTCTAGCAGTACCATGTAACTCTGCATTTTAAGTTTTGGTGGGACAGTTGCATCATGTGTGTGATTGCATGGCATGAAAACCACGGGAGACTATTGAAACTGCATTTTCCGAAGAATTATAGAATTAGTGATTAATAACTCATTCAAATCATATTAAAAATGTAAGTTTAAATTTGTCTAATATAATTTGAATACAAATAATTTTAATTGATCACATTCATTATCTATAAAAGTAGAACCTCATATTATAAAATAATCAGATCATAAAATTAACCTTACCTTGAGTTAATACATTTTTTACCCTAAGAGTCAAAAAGTTTGGTTAAAAAAATGCCTTTCCCTTTTTAAGTGGATTTTGGTTTATTTTATTGTATAATACCTTTTTATTATTTTAAATAATATTTTAATATTTATACACATTAAAATTAATAATATTTTTAACTTTTTCAAAGAAAAATGTTTCTTATAATAATTTTAATACAAACTAAAACGATCAAATTCAAAACCTACTACTTTTTTTCATATTAAGATTTGTATATTTTTAAAAATTCAAGTTTAAATTATTAATAATAATTAATTTTTATATTTATATATCAGATTCATACACAATTCTATATTAATTTGAGATTTGTGGCGTTACAAGTAGTTTCTAATTTTTTCCTATACCATAATATTTTTTTCAATCATTTTTTCAGTATAAATTTTTCGGGGAGAAAAAAAAAAAGAGTTAGTCTTTAACCAAAGACACCCTGAACGTCGTCGTTTGGACTTGGAAGTTAGGAAAACGGACAAGAAGAGAGAGATGAAAAACGGGAACACGTGGTATGACGGGATTGCAGGATGAAACCAGAATCCCACGAACAACAGAAAATAAACCAAAATAAAAAAAAACAAATTAATATAAAAATCAGAGCAAAGGGAGACGGGTGGCGCGTTGCTGCAGAAAAAAAAAACCAACGGTGTTGATATTCCAGACCTTCTCATCTGAGTCGTTTCCTCTCTCCTCTCTTCTCCAGCGTCCGATCCAATCCCCCAAAGCCAATCTCCCTCTCTCCCGCCCTTTTTCCCCCCAAGGTAAATTCTAATTCCCGTTTCCCTCCTTCCTTTTCTCACTCCATCTTCTTCTTCTTCTTCTGTTTCTGCTTCCCCTCTTTTCGCCTTCCTCTTTCTCTTCTCGTTTCTTCCGCCGCCGCCGCTTAGGGTTTCTTCTGTGGATCTGATTTTTCGTGATGTTGTTCTTGTGGTTTGATGATTTGTTGTGGTTAGGGTTTCTGAGTTTGATATGGCGGAGGTGCCAGCGAGTCCAGGAGGAGGGAGTCACGAGAGTGGCGGTGAGCAGAGTCCCCGATCCAACGTCCGGGAGCAGGACCGGTATCTTCCGATCGCCAATATTAGCCGCATCATGAAGAAGGCATTGCCTGCTAACGGCAAGATCGCAAAGGATGCGAAGGAGACTGTGCAGGAGTGCGTGTCCGAGTTCATTAGTTTCATTACCAGCGAGTATGAGTCTCTTTCTTCTCAGATACATTAACCCTTACATTTTCTTTTCTGTGATTAGTTGAGCATATTTGCCTAATGTCATTGTTAATTGAGGAGCTTTGTGGTGGTATCGGATTTGGATGATTTAGTTATTGAATTTACATTTACTGCCTGAGTTTGATTTCCGAGTCTATAGAAACGTGTGCTGATTGGCTTAAAAATACGGACATTTCTAATTGTTAATCTTTACTGGTTAATTTATTATGTTTTTTGAGTTACTTGTTTGTTTGTGAAGGAGGATTTGGTTACTGAATTTGCTGGCTTCATTGCCACCTAGTGAATATTGGTTTATTCTATTATTGCTGTTTCTGAATTTATACTTCTGTATATTGATGGATTATTAAAGATTTTGATGATTGAGGCTGTTTTGGACTGTGTTTACTCACCTTTCTGTGCTGCTATACCATTGGTGATTGGACGGTATTACCGTGTGAATTTATAACCACTACAGGCAAGATTTTTGTTGTTTGTTTGGCTTTTTTCTTGTTCTTTATTTTCTTTTTTGTTTGCTAGTGGTGGTCCTGGGGGATGGGTTGATATGATATTTGGTTAATGTAAAGATTTTATTCGGCTAATTGCTAATTGGAGATTTGGCAATTTATCATGAATGTGCAGGGCAAGTGATAAGTGCCAGAGAGAGAAGAGGAAGACTATTAATGGGGATGATCTTCTCTGGGCAATGGCAACTTTAGGGTTTGAAGATTACATTGAACCTCTCAAGACATACCTGACTAGATACAGAGAGGTGATTTTACTTCCATCTGATTCTTTTGTTTGATAGCTAAGAATGAAAGAGGTGAAATAATGATCATGGCTTTGTAGTTTGTGTTTTGATGCATTCTAATCCAAGATTTGAATTTATTTTGTATTTGGTGATTTGGTGTTCAACTGTATATTTTGCTTACCCAGTAGCATGTGAACTGATTGATCTTTCTTTGGTGGTTTTCTTGGTTGGTTGGGACACTGCAGATGGAGGTAAGCTAATTTTCTTTTCTTAACTCAAAACTTTTTACTTTACTAAATTTTCTGTGATCCTTGCCTCCGTTCCCTCTCTTCCCTTCTTGTTTTCTTCTCTAATTTAGCTGGTTTTTCTAATATTTTCATTTACAACTTATGTTTTGATAGGGTGATACTAAGGGGTCAGTTAAGGGTGGAGAGGCATCTGCAAAAAGGGATGTCCAATCAAGCTCAAATGCACAGGTTAGATTCATTTTATTTTTGATTCACATGCATCATGGCTATTCTTTTTATTTTTCAAAATATAAAATTTGGTTGAGGAAAACTATATCAGCTTATTTTCTAGTAAAATTTCTGGCAGATCACTCACTTAGGTTCATTCTCACAAGGTGTTAACTATGGAAATTCTCAAGTAATCTCTCTCTCTCTCTCTCTCTCTCTTTCTCTCTCTCACACACACACACACAAACAATTAAGTGACATGTCTTATCTTACTTCTTCATTTTATGTAAGGAATGCTACTGTTACTGGTTTGTGGTGCTACTTCTTAGGTACAATATTCCTTTTGAGTTTTTAGTTTTTATATCACCTTGGGATGTTCACTTTTTATGTTAAAAACGACAACAAACAGTAGCAACAAGTTTTAGAGGAGTGCTGCAACAATGGATATAGCTATTCTTATAGTTTGAGTTCTTCATATGAGTTACTTTGATCTAAGTTTTTTTAATCAATTTTGTTTGCTATATGAACTCTCAATTCCACACCCAAAGCTAGTGAGTTGTTTCTTGAAAAGTAAGTTCTATAAATCATCTGGCAATCTAGATATTTCTATTTGCTTAGCTTAGCTTGGCTAACTTGTTTTCACCACTGTCTTTTATAATGATGAAAAGGTGGCTTGCAGTTCCATAGAAAACTAGTAATTGTTGCCGGTTTTTTTTTTGGGAACTGAATAGTTGCTGATGCTTAACAAGAGAAAATGAAACACTCTGCTTATGTAAGAATAATTATGTTCAATTCATATAACAGTCTTATATTATGAAGTGGACTATTCCCTTGTAAGTTGTCATTCATTTCTTAGGATTCATGTTCGCTTTGCCTTTGCCAGCTCTAATCTTTGAAATGTTTGGAATCACAGGCCCAACATCTGATGGTTCCCATGCAAAACACAGAGTAGAAACTTTCAGTTCCTTCAACCAGTTACATGTCTGAATCTCATTCAACATGCTGTTTGAGTGCCTATTAAGTATGGAAGTGTCAACCTAATGTTAAAAACTAACATTTTGGGTGCTCTTCATTCTCTTGTACTTCAAGTTATTGTTTTCTAGTATGGTTTTGTATATCAAGTTGTTCTTTAAATAGTCAATTCTTCAGAATTGAATGACTATTCAAAGAAAATACCGTAATTATTGGAGTGTTTAGACTTGCCACCTTCGCTAGGTTGTTGTAACATTAAACACCCTATGTTATTGTTCCCTTGAATTGTTATTTTTGAAATTGTTAGGGTTAATGATGATTATTGGTATTATTTTTTTCATGATGCTGGTGTCCATATGGTAGTAAGCCTTTACTACATCTGCCTGTTTCGGTGGCTTTTTGGTACAGCAACTGTCCCTGGATTATATTGATTACTGACAGTTCTTTTACTGCTGCAATTTGCTTAAAGGTCCCCTCAGATACGGAGTGATGCTGCCAATTCTGCGTCACAGGCAACGACTGTGCCATAGGGCCATAGCCTCACCATAATTGCTAATCTTCTGTTCTATTTGGTTCTAGTTAATATACGGGAATAATCAACCAATATTTGGTTCTGGCCCATTGCACCTACCACAGTCCATTTCAAACTGCTGATGCTTTCTGGCTTTGGCTGTAGCTCGGGCACGCCGAAATGTCCTCATCAAAGTAAATTGGCTTTTCCGTTCACATGGCCTGCTCTCTTCGCCTCTGCGTTCTGGACAATGGAATGCTTCGGGGTGGTACTATTTTGGTTCATTTAAAGTTACCATTTATCTGCTAACTAGAAAAATTAATTCAAGCGGTCATTTACCTTTTGTTGGTTACGTATTTAATTCTCATGAATTTTTTTTTTTCTCTCACTTAATTGATATATGTAAATAATTTTAATCGGTTCAAATAAAAAAAAATTTATTCAAGCTCTCATAAACAAAATAAAAAAAAAAAGGCAAAATTATTTAAGCCTTTACATTGACAAGTGAACTTCTAATGTAACAAACAAACAATAAGTTACCATTTTCATTTATAAGAAACAAATCTACAATGTGCATTTTTAAGAAATAGTAAAAGAAAAATACAAGAATTTATTGTTTTCGTAATTTAGATTATATTAACTTATAAAATAAAAAATTTTAAATAACAAATGATTCCTAATACCAAAACCATTCAAAATAATTTTTCAAGTACAAAATTATCTAGTCCAGCACATGGTGGCTTATTGACCACCCTTTTGCGGATGTGCGTAGGAATAATGAGACCTAAGATAAAACCCCAGGTTCCTTCCCTTCCCCGGAAAAAAACAAAAAAGTTTTTTACTGTTCAAAAAAAAAGGTACAAAATTATCTATGTTTTAAATTTTAAAATATCAAAAGGAGAAAAAAATCACAGGATAAAAGAAATATATACATATATGGTCCATTAATCCGGCGGTCCAAAATTTTCGACTAACACAAGGCGTCCGATCAACAAACTATTTCTATCTATAAGGCAAGTACTTTAAATCAGGTACAATCCTACATGTAAGTCACCAACAGAGAATCGCACCTCCCAATAGTAGAAATTGAGCTTTAATTAATTAAAGAGATTTACATTTACTCGACTTGTGTTTTCTTTATGGTTTCCTCCTCCTCTCTGTTTCTCCCATCATCATCATTATCACCGTCTCCTTCGTCATTCAAAAAAAAAAAAAAAACTCAATTTAATCCACAGAGAAACAATCGGCAACCGGATTTTCAAGAACAAGAAGAAGCATATCTATAAACCCTAGATTGAAAATTTTCAGGTCTTCGGATTCCAAAATCTCGAAGACCTTAACGATAAATTAGGTACTCGTTAATTAAAAACCAAAATTGTAATCCTCCAAACCTGATCTTCGCTTCTTCAATTGCTCCCGATTCCTTTTTCTATCTTGTTTTCTCTTTGATTTTCGTTTTTTTTTTCCTCAAATTTTTAATTTTTTATTAGTGTGTTTTGCTTTTGAATATTGTTTCTTTTTTTCTGTTTGGTTTGTTTCTGATGAATCTATGATGCTAGGATTATCTCTTGCTGTTCCAAATCCTTTTTTTACGCTCTGAAGTCTTGATGATTGTTAGAGAATATGTTGTTTTTTGTTGTTGTTTTGAATTCGGGAAAGGAGCAATTTTTATGCAGTTTTTGATGCGATTGATGTTTTTCAGTGTCTCAGGAGTGAATGTTTGTTTGAATTCTCTGTTTGATCAATGGGAAATCGTGGACAGAAACGCTCAGAGATGGGTGATGAATTACCGGCAGATAAACGGGCCTGTAGTTCATTGGAGTTTAGACCGAGTTCATCGAACTCATCAGTGCATTCCATGCAAGTGCATTCCACGAATTCTACACCTGAAACTCATGAAGGTGATATGGATACTTCATCGTCTGCCTCGGCTTCAGATGGAGAACCAGATAAGGACTCAACGTCTTGTGATTCTGATGATACAGGGTCAAGAAGGCGCAGTATCCTTCGTGATTACCAAAGGCGGAGATCGTCTACTGATCATGGGAAATTGAGTGGGATTTTGTCTAATTTGAATGAAGAAAATGAGCAATCTGGATTTTTGGCTGCACTAACTCAGCTTTGTGAAGTGTTGTCATTTACAGAGGATTCTCTTTCTGGTTCAGTGGCAGATTCTTTGTCTCCGCTTCTTGTAAAGCTAACAAAGCATGAGAACAATGCAGAGATAATATTATTGTCTGTAAGGGCTATAACTTATCTATGTGATGTGTTTCCTAGATCATCTAGTTTCCTTGTCCGGCACGAGGCTGTTCCTGCTCTTTGTGAAAGATTGTTGGCAATTGAGTACGTGGATGTAGCTGAGCAGGTATGTGTTAGTAGTGAAATTGAGGATTTTGTTATGCAATTGGTGAGTGGTATGAGGCATATATTTATGTTGTAAATGTTGTTTACATGTAGTGTATCCAAGCATTGGAGAAAATATCTCGCGGGCAACCACTTGCTTGTTTACAGGCGGGGGCTATTATGGCTGTTCTAAATATTATTGATTTCTTCCCAACAAGTATACAGGTAATTAAAATGAGGCATTTTTTTCTTATGGATTGTTTCATTTGTTGTTTAACTAAACTTTGGTTCCGTGTGCTGAGGTGAGGGAGTGTAGCTTAAATTCTTTTGTAATCTCCTTTTGTCTTTGTCAATCAGAGAGTTGCACTTTCAACTGTTGTGAACATATGTAAGAAACTTCCTTCTGATACTACTTTGAATCTAATGGAGGCCATTCCAATAGTGTGTAGTCATCTTCAGAACGAGGATCGGCAGGTTTGAGTAGCTTTCAGTTTAGATCTCGTAGATGACTCCTTCAATAGATTCATCTTTTTTAGCTATTTTATTATTGACTTAACAGCTTCTGCTTTGCTTACATTATCCAGTTGGTCGAAAGTGCAGCCACTTGCTTGATTAAAATAGCAGAGAGGATGAGCCAGTCTTCTGATATGCTAGACGAACTTTGTAAAAATGGGCTGATTAATAAAGTCACTAACCTCATCGACTCAAATAGCCGGACTACCTTATCCCAGCCTATTTACAATGTGTGTATACCTTCCTCTTATCATTTTAAGATTGAGTAATGTACTATGGATGGTGGTTTGACTTCCACATGTTTAATGGCAGGGTTTAATTGGATTACTTGTAAAACTTTCTTCTGGTTCATGTGTGGCTTTCAAGCAATTGTATGAGCTAAATATAAGCAGCATATTGAAGGATGTCTTGTCTACTTATGACCCGTTGCATGGAATGTCTTCCCCACATCTGTTTGATGGAAGTTGCAATCAGGTTTGCATCATTAGACTTAAAAAGAATAAAAAAAGGGCTGAAATTCTTTTTTTTTTTTTTCCCCCAAATTATGAAACTTCTATTTTATCTATGGAACATGGTAACAGGGGAAAGAACATGAGATGAATTGATGTTGGTTCTATATTTTGTACATATGTATCTATAGAGTGATAAAAAAAATGTTGAAAATGTCTGGAGAGTGGACATGTCTGAGTGAATAATTGTCCATGAATAGTCATAAACCCAGCTTCCCTGTGGAAGCATTTATGCAACTGAGATTGTTTGTTTGATAACTAGAGGTAGCACAAGGCGGTAATGGAATATATTTGACTAGAATAGGGGTAAATGGTTTAGAAATTTTCATATTGAACTAGAGTGCATTGGGGGGGGGGGCAGGGAATGCAGGAAGATGACTTTATCATGGATGTAAAAGGGACTTTAAGTTAGTAATTATCTGACTGTGATTGTTGTGTTGGTCAGTAATTTCACTATGGATGTTGCTGATATTGTTTTTTGAATTCTCCAGCTTTCAAGTTTTTATTTCATCTTTTCAAATTTTAATAATGGGTTTATAGTCTTAAAGGAACAGCCATGTGTCACCTCTACATTGACAGTTCTCCTTCCAGGTTCATGAAGTTCTGAAGTTGCTGAATGAAATGCTCCCTTTGTCAGTGAGGGATCAAGGGAACCAGCAGATGTTGGATAAAGAATCCTTTTTGGTTAGTCATCCTCATCTTCTACAAAAGCTTGGAATGGATATACTTCCCATTTTGATCCAGGTATTATCCCTGATATGTACAGATTTAACTGCTGTTCCTCATTCTTGTAGATGAAATTGTTATCAATCTCTTTTTTGATAGCGTAGTATTTTATGCTGCATCTCTCATGTAGGTGGTTAATTCTGGTGCAAATCTATTCATCTGTTATGGTTGTCTATCAGTTGTAAGAAGGTTGGTTTACTTGAGCAAATCTGACATGCTTACTGACTTGCTTAAGAGTGCCAACATTTCAAGGTAATCTGCTTTCTTTCTTCTTTTTTTTTTCTTTTCTTTTTTTAAAAATAATAATAATAATAAGGCATGGACCCTGAATATATTTTATGAGACCTAATGATTTATCTGGATAAAATGGCAGTTTTCTGGCTGGAATATTTACTAGAAAGGATCACCATATCCTCATGTTAGCTCTACAGATTGCTGAGGTGATCCTTCAAAAGCTCTCTGATGTTTATTTGAACTCTTTTATCAAAGAGGGTTTGCTCTTTGCCATTGTTACACTCTTATCACCGGAGAAATGTTCACAATCCATGTTTATGGTGAATGGTGGCATTCATCTGCCATTTGATTCAAGTCGAAAGACTTCTCGAAGAGAGGTCCTGAAATGCTTATGTTATGCTTTTGACACTGGACCATCTCATTCAGCATCAGAAACAGGACATTGCAAGATTGAAGAGGATTCTGTTTGCAATCTTGCAAAGCACATTAAGACCAGTTACTTTGCCCCAGAACTATTTGATTCTCAGAAAGGAGTAACTGATGTTCTTCAAAATCTTAAAGACCTTTCTGATGCCTTGAGTGATTTGATGAACATGCCTATTAATGGTGATGCCCCAGCTGAAGATCAAGAAAAGTTTTACTCTATATTGCACCAGATAATGGCGAAGATTTGTGGAAGAGAACCTGTTTCAACTTTTGAATTTATTGAAAGTGGAATTCTGAAGTCACTAGTAAATTACCTATCTAATGGTCTGTATCAGAGTGATGAAGTGGAACTTAATGGTGTGAATGGTCATTTGTGTGTTCTGGGAAAGAGATTCGAGGTGTTTGCTAGGTTGCTTTTGTCTTCTACAGATTTCCTCACCGAGGACTTGCCTTTGATTGTGATGATACAAAAATTACAAAGTGCTTTGTCTTCATTGGAAACTTTCCCTGTTGTTTTAAGCCATGCATTCAAGCATAGAAACTCATGTGCTATTGTCCCAAGCAGACGCTCCACAACTTATCCTTGTTTTCGAGTTCGTTTCATTAGAGGAGAAGAGGAGACATGCTTATGCAATTATTCTGAAGATGCCCTGACTGTTGACCCTTTTTCCTCTTTGGATGAGATTGAAAATTTTCTGCGGCCTAAAGTTTTTGCAAAAAGAACAGAACATGTTGAAACAGAAGATCTGGCTTTGGAGCAGATGGATTATCAATCTCTTCATTTACCAGTGAAAGCAAACTCTAGTCAGGGCAAGAGTTCTGGTTTTGTGGACGCTGATATCACCTCCACTGTTTTGGCTGAGATGCAGGTGACCCATGTTGTTGACTGACTTATATAATCTATTTATTCAATGCTGTTTTTATCTTTAAAAATTTTTGGGCTTCAATTTTTCTGATCATGCTTTCCTGCAGGAAGATGAGGTTAAGTTTTCAGAGTTTGCTTATGAACAGGTGGTACATTTAAGTCAAACAAACCATGACCAGATGACTACTTTGGATGAAACCAATGTTGTAAGTAGATGTGAATGTATGGTATAAGCTGTTTGAGTGAATATTTTTTACCTCTTTTCTTGTAAGGGTTGCTCCTATTTCTCTGCTGTGGGATATTTTATATCTGCCCTCACCTGGCTTTGAAGTGTGCTTTTTCATTTTTTTTTTTCTCAGGGCTTTGCTCTGCAAGAACAACAATTTCCTTCAGCATCAGATATCAATGTAGAAATTCAGTCTTCTTCATCTGGTGGCAATGAAGATGTTTCACCTCGTCTGATACTTTACCTAGAAGGGCATCAACTAGACCACACATTGACATTATATCAAGCAATTCTTCAGCAACAACTGAGATCAGAAAATGAAATGGTTATGGGGGCAAATTTTTGGAGTAAGGTATACACAATTACTTATAGACAGGCCATGGAATCTAAGGAAAGTGATCCTCAAAAGGAAAAATGCTCAAGACAAAGTTCTTCTCTGTCAGATGAACTTGGTCCCTCAATGCAGAATACTGCCTTTATGTCCAGAATGTTCCGTTGTGAACTTGCTTCTGGTTTAGATAAGTCTAGTCCTATTTATGACATACTGTTTCTGCTTAGAAGTTTCGAAGGCATGAACAGGTGCTCATTTCACCTTGTTTCCTCTGAAAGAATACATGCATTTGCTGAAGGGAGACTGGATAGCCTGGATAATTTGAAGGTGTTAGTTCATTCAGTGCCACAAAATGAATTTGTAAGCAGTAAGTTGACAGAAAAACTAGAACAACAGATGAGGGATTCTTTTGCTCTGTCAACTGGTGGTTTGCCTTTGTGGTGTAATCAATTAATGACTTCTTGTCCATTCTTATTTGGTTTCGATACACGATGTAAGTACTTCAGATTAGCTGCATTTGGTCCGAGGAAAGATCAGACTCGTCTGGTGCCTAATAACAGTTTAGGGGGTTCAAGTGACCGGCAACTTTCTCCTGGGAGTTTGCCTCGTAAGAAGTTTTTAGCTTCACGGGACCAGATTTTGGAGTCTGCTGCCAGAATGATGGACTTGCATGCCCACAATAAAGTACTTCTTGAAGTGGAATACAAGGAAGAAGTTGGCACTGGTCTTGGACCCACTTTGGAATTTTTTACCCTTGTTAGCCATGAATTTCAGAAGCCTGACCTTGGCATGTGGAGAGATGACCACAGTTCATTTTCTACTATGAAAAACTACTGTGTTGGGAATTCTGGGATAACTCCTTTTGGACTCTTTCCCCGTCCATGGTCACCTACATCAGATGCTTGCAATGGGATTGAGTTCCCTGAAGTACTAAAAAAGTTTGTTCTTTTGGGGCAAATTGTGGCAAAGGCTATTCAGAATGGAAGGATACTGGATCTACCCTTCTCCAAAGCCTTCTATAAACTTATTATTGGGCAGGTATTCACTCAAACTTAAATCTTAGAATGGGCTTTTGTGTGAACTTTCTATATTATCTAAGTCCAAGTTAATTCTTGATGGGAGATACTTGGTCTAGCCTTTAATTCATGTTGGAATGGACTTTTCTTTTGAACATTTCATAGTATATTGAATTCCATGCACTGGAGAGATTGATATACACATTGTTTATGTAGGACCTTAGTTTGTATGACATCCAATCATTTGACCCTGAGCTAGGTAGGACACTGCAAGAGTTTCAGGCTCTTGTTAATAGGAAAAAATATGTGGAATCTGTGTGTGGAGAAAACTCAACATTTCAATTTGAGGTGTCATGCTTTCGGAATGCCAGAATTGAGGACCTCTGTCTTGACTTTACTCTTCCTGGGTATCCAGATTATGTTCTTTCTGACCACGATCAAACAGTAAGTTTTAAGTAATACAATTTGATCCTACTTCTCATTTTATCTGCTAATTGCAGTGCAAACTTATCTTATTTGCATTTTTATGTAACCTTTGTAGGTAAATTTGGCTAACTTGGAAGAATATGTTAAGCTTGTTGTGGATGCTACCATAAAAAGTGGAGTTTCGAGGCAGGTTGAAGCTATTAAATCTGGATTTAACCAGGTATGCTTCTTTGGATACTGTATCTCTCTCTGATAGACAGCCTGTGATATCTTTTGATCCTTTTGTTATTCTACTTGGATAGGGTAGTTCTTTATATATTCAATTTCTTTTCTCTAATTTTATTTTTGTTTATGAAATTTAGTTTTAAAGAAGCTCTTCTAAAATTTCCTTTAGAAATAAACATAGCCTCAATTGTTTCATTTTCCCAATGTCTTAAGTCCTAGCATACCCTCCATTTTGTCATAAGAGGAGAAGATGTACAGTTTGCCTTCCATTCATCCATCTCTGTCTTCTCAGGTTTTTCCAATCGAGCACCTCCAGATATTTACTGAAGAAGAACTTGAGCGTTTACTCTGTGGAGAACAAGAGTCTTGGACTGTATGCATATCTATCACTTTCTTGATGTATAAGTTGTGGGGACAAAGATTACCCTGAACTAACTTAATATTGTTTTTCAAGCAGTTCAATGAACTTTCGGATTATGTCAAGTTTGATCATGGATACACCGCTAGCAGTCCTCCAATTATCAGTGTTAGTATTTCTCATCTCTGGAATTTTGTTATTCATCTTCAATCTCTCAAGCCTTAATTCTCATTACAGACCTACTCTTTGCAATTTCAGATACTGGAAATCATGAAGGAGTTTGACCATGAGCAAAGACGAGCATTCCTGCAGTTTGTGACAGGCGCACCTCGACTTCCTCCAGGGGGTTTGGCATCCTTACATCCAAAATTGACAATTGTCTGCAAGGTGTGTACCAACAATAACATCTTTGATTTGCAATGTTGTGTTTAAGCTTTTGATTAGCCATAGTTTATTCATTTCTTTATCTTCTGCGTGTTTTCAACAGCAGAGTAGCAATTGTGCAGATGCAGACCTACCTAGCGTAATGACTTGTGCCAACTACCTGAAGTTGCCACCTTATTCTTCAAAAGTGATTTTCCTTGCCTTTCTACTTGGATTTGTATTATATAATTTATCAGTGATAACATGGCTCACAAATTTTGAGTGGTGATTTTTCTTGCAGGAGAGAATGAGAGAGAAGCTCTTGTATGCCATAACTGAGGGGCAAGGCTCATTCCACCTTTCGTAGTTTTTGCAGGTACATAACTCATAAATTTGTAATTATTAGGCAGATGATGGTGGTGTACATAATATGGGGGTGGTGAGAGATGGTGGTGGTAAAACTTACGACGATTGGAAGAGGAGCAGATTGTCATCAAACAAGAGGAAGCTCCATCATCACTGACTGGTATTTTGGTTGAGTGTGTAAAGATTGGAAATACAGATAGTTTTTAGGTTGAAGTTGGGGGGAAAGGCGTTACATGGAGTGCTGGAGTAACTCATAAACGGTGGTCTTTTTGTTCTGCATTTCCTGTTTTCAAGCCATGTACAGAATTAGTAGTTAGAAGAACACTCTCTTGGTTGGCAAAAAAACTAGTTTACAAGTATGGGAACATGACGTCCCCTTTTATGTCATGGAAATATTTGGTCATAAAATTTGAGTGTTTCTTTTATTTTCTATTGTTCTGTTTTCTATTATTTACTCTTGCGCCAACATTGACCTAAAATGTGTTTCTTCTAGGAAACAAAAAAAGGTGTTGTGCATGAATGTACAATTTAAACCACTACACAGGGTGGGTCTTCAAATATTGGAATTGTTCTTCATCTAATGGTTTTATGGGTGTTTTTTTAATGGGTTTTGTTTTATAATTGGATTTAGTTTGAATTCTAAATGAAGGCACTCTTTCACTAAAATTAGTTCTCATCCAATTCAAGGGACCCTCCACCAATTGAGCGTGTTATTGCCCACCCTATTTTTTTTAATTAAATTTTTTATTTTTTATTTTTTTAATGTCTCTTGTTTTATTACAATATAACCATAAAATTATAATTATTAGATGGATGGGTTCTGCTGACAAGAAAAATTC